AATTATATGCATGGATATAATTAATAATAATAAAATCTGTCGTTTTAAATTTGTTTTCTCTATTAATTATATATTTATTATTGATATTTTATATAATTTAATGCAAAAGTTTTATTATGTTTTATTATAAATTTTAATATCATCAAGTATTTGACAATATTGGATAATATTTTGTTAAATAATATTTAAATAAAATAAATATCATTTAAAAATTTAACAAATCTATTGATTGAATTTACTTCAATCAGTCATAAATTTCATCATCATGAACATATATCCCATTTCAACATAATTCTTTCAAATTTTCCAAATAATTAACCTAACCTCTATTCTGCTTCATTGAATTCTAAAAGAATCACATATTGCAAGAAAATAGGTGATAAATATCATGGATTCTCGAACTCGGTGGTCATTTCTTTACTTCGCTTGAGAATTCAATAAATTGAGCCAAATTTATGATCACAACGTACTTTCGCGTTCGATGTACACTCGTTATTTCAGCGCACACATATATATATGTAGAAGGAAGCCACGGAGCGTCGTCTAACGTCATTGTGTATTATTTTGACCCTGCAAAAAGGAATAGTGTCTGGTTATAAAAGTTCTATATTTTGTTTGTAAATAATGTTTCATCGTGTAAAATCTGAGAAAATAATCAATCTATTGTGATCGATTGGATATATAATTTATAGAGTAGAATTTTTTGTAAGGAATTAATGAATGTATGAACTCAACAATTTTTTGTAGTGTTATGAATATATTTTTTTTATAGAGATCTTACCTTATTGGATTATAATAATATAAAATACTGAAGTTATAAAATTTTCATAATAATAAGATATGTTAATATTTCTTGAAATTTATTTGATTACATCCCAAGTTTTAATAATCTTATTTTTAACATTACATCTCTTTATATTCTAACCTATATGAGCATGTGTATTTCATGATGGTTCTGCCATCTATACCACGCTAGTTATAACTAACAATTTTTATACTATTTTTCTTAAAGAATAAATTTCGTTTTTTTAATATAAATTAATCTTTTGGCAAAATTTTGATTTCATTTGAAAATGAAGAGTTTATTATATATAGTTAATAGTATTTTTTTTCGATTTCCGTTAAATTAAATATTACAATGTGATAAAATATTTGTAATTTCATTCTAAAAAAAAAAAAGATGGTGATCTTGAAATCTGAAGAGATATAACCTTGACGGAAATAATTTATCGATCGTAATTTTTTACTTTCTCCTAACCATCTTAATGTGCTTTTTTAATGATGATAAAAATAGAATATATCACAGTAATATAAAACAATAAAATTATGGAATCTTGAAGACGTTATAAAAAAAACCAACAAAAAACAATATGGTATCTTAAGAATTGTTTATTATGGATCGTGAATATTAAACATAACGAGGACGAGAAATCTTCCATTGGAACATTGTCTATATTTCACTCGCTCGATATCAGTTTCTTGTAATTAGGTTAATGTATATATTTTCAAAGGAATGAAAACTTTATCAAAGAACAAGATTTCTTTGACGCGCTTCAATTTCTTATCATCCTTTTTCTTTATAAATAATTATCTAATAACAACAAATCAAAACTTTTTTTTTAATGAAAATAATTCTTTCTATGAAAATCTAATAAAATAACATGAAAGATGTTTTGAGCAATCGTTCAAGAAAATAATAGTAATTAATTTTTTAATTTTTCTATGCAGGGTGTTTCGTAACATGTTGGGACCCACGTCAATGGTGAATAGAGGATACAAAAGCAATAAAAAGAGTTCGTATAAACATGTGCCCTATTTGACCTTACTCCCGAGTTGCGGCCATTTTTGTACTGCAATAATATGCAGTAAATTATCTCTATAGAAAATACTCGAAATGGCCATTTTAGGCTCGAATGAAAGCCTGAAATTGTTGTGTCGTAGAATTTTTCTACCTTTCCAAAAAATCAGGTAATTAAAATATTATTTAAAATATTTTAATTTGAATATAAAAAACTGGCTGTAACTCGAGAACAGACTTCTACAAACTTTTCTTAATATCTCTGTCTCCTCTGTCCACTGCTGAAGTATGTTTCATAAATCATAATTATTTTATTTTCGCATTTAACTACTAAAATTTGTTATTATACCAAATTACCAAAAATAATTGAACATTATATATACTTTTGATTATAACTTGCAGCGATAGCAGATGGCCGAAACAAATATCAATATTTCATGATATTTTCAAAAAGGCAATAATAATCTGAAAAAAATTTTTACTTAATGAAAAATGATCGTTGAACAATAACTCACTGAGACAAAGAAGGATATTTATTCGAATATAAAGCTTCCCACACACGCAACGTGTTCGAATGATTAGTCGAGTTTTCTGATGCAGCCAAGAATGATATCTAGTCTTGAAACTCCGTTTATATATCTAATGAAATATACCTGCGAGTGTAAGCAGTTGATAAATTTCCGGAAGTTTAGGGAGGTGTTCGTGCCACGATTTCGAATCACGAAAGCGAATTATTTGGATGCTTTGAGCGATCTTTCAGTAAGAAAAAGCTTTTCCAGATATTTTGCAATTTAAATTGAGACCAAAAGTTTGAAGTTTTATTAACGATATATTTATAGAAATATTCAATATTGTGATGAATAAAAATCAAAAAAGATATGAGAATACGAGTACAATTTCTTTTTTAACTTTTTTTCAAATTTGTCGAAAAAAAATTTTTTACAATTATAGGATGTGTCTTGCATATATAATATATATATATA